GTCTCAATTGCATTTTATTCAAAATTGAATTTTATATTTCGTGTCAGGTGAAATTTCAAGTTTTCCTCTCCTTCAGACTTTAAAATCAGGATAATCCGAGAAAACAAGTTTTTTTTCCCCCGCTCTGGATTTTCTCCCCGGTACGTGACAGGGCAGCGTTTTGAAACCAAAACTTTCATCTTGAAGATAATTCTTGTGGATCTGTATACTGGCTCTGATTGCCTTACTGGAGAAATACGTCATAACTGTGTAACATTCATGTCGGCTCGAAGCTCACGCCTTTCTTTCGCAGGAACTGGAATAATAAAAACTCTCTTGTATGAAAGTGGTCAGACCAGTTTTGCCTGATGGCTTGTAAAAAAGAGACCGCTATTCTACTCGAACATATTCCATATAGTTGTTCTGTAAGTCGCTGTTTTGACCGGCCTTTGCACTCCTTGTTGCAATTTTCATTGCCTTAGCTAAATAAAGCGATTTCAGGCTGTCCCAAAATTTAGTGACTGTTTAATAAGTTAGCGATTTCGTAGATATTTAGACTGATGTTGACACCGTGACAGCGACTTTGACTGAAGCTTCTAAACGATTTCAAAGCTAGCCAGAATTTAGATTAGCGATTTCTCATGCATGGCTAAGATCGTCCAGTTAGCTTTCGTTTGGCCGGTGTCCCTTGGATGCATAGCGCATTGAAGTCCACCTTTTTGACACTATAAAGGTTTTTTAAGAAGAATAGGACGAAGGGACGTCTAGACATTATTACTTTTGTTCCTCTGAGTTGAGTTTTAGGCGCATAGCTTGCCGTCATTTGTTGTTCTAGTTAAGCCACTCCATTTTTCTGTATATCAATCGCTTGTTCATCATTGCAACAAAATGGAGCACTCCTTTGGCGGCCTGATCGTCTCAGCAGAACAACATCAGCGGTCTCAGTAGGTGCGTTAGATGGGCACAGAATAGTCACTGGGCCAAATGCTACAGTACGGGATGGTTGGATGATGGCTGAAGATACCGGCGGAGGTTCCCATGCTGGCATCATGAACAGGATGTTTAACCCGGCGTATTTTCCAGGCTGAAGGCCATGTATACCTCAGCGAAGGTGCGAGCCAGAATGTCAAGGTCAGCATCATCTTCGGAATCTAACGGAAAGAAGTCGTGAGGGCCGAGGATAAGACCTCGCGGAGAAGGAGTCAGTGGATAATACTCGGACATAGCCAGAGTATAGCTAGACTGAGGCGGAACAATAAGCTAGTGAATTCCAGGAGCTGAAGGAAGTGTTTCTAGTGACGCCACTGATGCCTTCTGAGTTTATCTTTTCACCCTTTACAGTATTTAACCCTTAACGACACAGTCCCCATACGAGACAGTAAATGTAAACTCCTCGCGACGATGCACCTGAGCTTTGGTATGGTTAGGTAAGGTTAAGTAACTTTATTTTAAGTCGCCAGTAAACGTAAGGTGCGGTTGCCCAATCTCCCGAGTCAGGGGCTCATGACAAAAACGCAAGCCTAACATTACTGCTTACAATTACTATATTTGCTAAGACAAATTCAGAACTGATTAAATATAAAATATTCCTAGGAGCAACTAGCCCTAACATTAAAAATTTGAGTTAGAAAGTACAGTTCATACACTGGCATCCTGTAAACTCCACATCATTTAAACGAGAACGAGATTGTGCCAAAGTGGTCGCGGATTTGGTGATAGCTCAGTAACTGGTTCCACATGTGGGCAATCTTATACAGAAAGGAGTTCTGTATGACAAGGCTGTTATATGGAGGCTGTACAACATTTAAGCCACTACTTCGTTTGTACCGGTGATTCTACTAGATCTAGAAATGTTCAAAATGGACGAGTTTTCCGTCAACTATGAGGCGAGAGGTCATCGCGTCGTAGAAGATTTCATATTCATTGCCTTTTTTTAATGCAAGGGTCAGTGACCATTACTTGCACTCGCACTTTCAGCCGGAGGAGACAACTTCAGAAGTTCCACATTTATTCATAGATTTCTTGCTCGGATTGTTGACCCTACCAATCTCCACATTAGTCCCGTGGAGGAACAAGATTGAATCCATGGCGACCTCATATAAACAAGAAGCTGGTCGCTGCGAACTGATATTCTCACCCCACCATGGAGCAAGGAACGCGGAAACCAACTGTGATGGTATCGTAGAGATCATCGTGTTTCACGCTTTCAAACAAGCAAGGTTAAAGTTTAAAACGACATAGTTTCTCTTAGCACTAGGATCGACTGTCGACCGTTTGGCAACATCAGCT